TTTTTTTTTTTTTTTTTTTTTTTTTTTTTTTTTTTTTTTTTTTTTTTTAAAGAAAAGTTACAGCAATCATTTACATTGGAAAAAATAAAAAATAAAAGTATCGGCAAAGCGTTATGTGTATACCTCAACTTCGTTGAATAGCCTCTTGAAGGACGCAAGGCCCATGGCTTTGTTGTACGGCAGTCTAAGCGCTGTGCTCATCTGCTTGGCGGTGTTACCTTTGGCGCCATAAGCCCCCAAGGAAAGAACGATGTAGGCGCTCAGGGGCGAGACGACGATGTTCTTGCCGATTTTCTCCTTTGCTGCTTCCTGCGGGAAAATCGATTTGGGTTACGATACGTGTCTATACGTGTTTAGGTTTGGGCGAAGCCGATGTCCAAGCACCTGCAGAAATCCAGCGGAGAACCAGTTACTGCTCACGGATACTTGTCCGTGTGGTATGACCACCGCCGAGCAAGCGGTAAGGCCCAAAAGGGCTACCGCCCCGGCAAACAGAGCTGCGAGAAAGATAATGGGATTCATGAAAATCGATGTACATATAATTAGAGCTTACATATAATGAGATTTGGAATTTTAAGGTGTATATACTTACGGGAACGCATATTGAACATGGATCGGCTCATCACCTCAACAAGACGGAAAAAAGTGAGCTGGTGGAGATAACGAGCCGGCTATTATATATATAATATGTCCATGAATCAGTTCAAGGGAGATCGCAGTTAAGCGCGATAATATCTCGCTTTATATAACTGATAAAAAACTTTAATTTGTTTATTCTTACGGACAATTAATTTAATCCTGGTTTTCGGTCGCAAAGAACAAGGTGTATACGAGGTTTCCTCGTGCGAGAGCTCTCTTTTGTCGGGGGCGAATTACATCATTGGTAATGACTTTTGTTTTCTTTAACGTTTCTTCATATTTTATTGTTGCATCGTTACTCTTGTGCCAAACTGCGTATGTGTACACTATTTTCGTACTTACTTGTGTCATTGTGTTTCATTCACTATAAAAAAAAAATTTCTTTTAATCAAGGAAGTATTTACCACATTGAAGGTCCGAGTAAATATTTCATGTCGAGAAAATTTTCTTGTTTCAAATTAATGTTTTCTTTAAGCAAAGAAAATATAATCTTATTTCGAAAGATCATTTACTTATGACTGTTCGAGTAAATTTTTTTCCAATGTCGCGTTTAATATTGCGAACGTTTCTGTTATTACATCCCTATCATTAGAGGTAGAAACGTGCCGATGATTCCTATAATCAGCTGACATCAATCAATCGATATAAAATCTTAAAAAAACAAGTTTGTTAAAAATTAAAAAATAAAATAAAATAAAATAAAAAAAAGTCAAGCGTACTTCACGTAATTAGCTAGGGAAATTTGTATGAATCAACTGACAGAAATAATTTTTCAGCAAAAAATAATGCGCAATAATAATAAAAATTTGCATCATTTCGTGCGTGAGTTTAATTAAATTTTTGCACGCATGGCCATACGCGTCAATAACGACGTGTTTGAACTGGTGCGTGAGAAACCCGCCTAGAAGCGATACCCTAATTTGTTTCTATGAAAAAAATTGTCATCCACGTTTTTACAGTAGTAGTTGGAAAAAAAATCGTAGAAATGATTTATACACGTATGTGTTTCTGTCTTTTGCAGAGTATGACCCACTCTTTGGCCGAAGATTTTAGGAAAGAAGAAAACATTGTCGAGCCCACCGGTCATTTTTTTTTTTTTTTTTTTTTTTTTTTTTTTTTAAAAAAAATTTTTAAAATTTAAAAAAAAAAAAAAAAATTTTTTTTTAGAAAAAAAAAAAAAAAAAAAAAAAAAAAACATACTAAACAAGTGCAGGTGATCAGTACTTCTTAATCATCCATCCAAATATAATCTCATCTTCACTGCAGGCTTGGCGACAATATGTATGGCTACGTACTTGGTACAGGAAATCATTGACTAACTGGCTTTCCCTGCAATTTATTACTGTGGTATGATGATTTAGAAACTTTTCTTCACCTTCACTGAAATCTGAATGTAAATAATAAAAATAAATAAAACTAACTTTAAAGACATGGACTTGAAAGACTATTTAGAATCTATACCTATGACTCATGTACATTTGATAAGTGACATTTTGAAAGTAATGACACTTTAAAGTACCTGATAATTCCGCAAATCTTATTAGCGACACACTGCAGGCCACCATCACTTGTTAAAGCATTACAAAGTATGTTTGCATACACCATGACAGATTTTCAGAGATACCTCTCATCAGCCATCCAAATACAATTCCATCCTTACTGCAAGCTTCAAGTAAAAATGTATGACTACGTACCTTGCACAAGAACTTATTGACACACTGGCTATCACTGCAATTTATTACTGTGACATGAAAAATTAAAAACTTGTTTTTACTTGCACTGCAATCTAAGTGTAAATAATGGAAATAAATTAAATTAACTTTTGACATGTACTGGAAAAAATTCAGAAATTACCTGTGAATCATGTAAATTTGATGAGTGACACTTTGAATAAGTGAAATCATCCATCACTTTTTAACTTTGCAAATAATATGCATCATACATCTTAAAAGTACACAAACACAGTAAAATTTTGCCAGCTGTTGCCAATACGTATAGCGAACACTCCGATTCATACCACTTCTCCAGGAAAATATGCAGCTACAGCAGGAACCGTAACAAATCGTGTCAGGAAGCTGGAGCAGCTTTCTCGATCTCGGATTACCATCCTGACATGGCTTTTGTTTGCAAACACACAATACGTATATTTTCGACAGGAGCTCGGTGACAATCCGGCATCCGGGCATCGTGATATCTTGGAGTACATATATTTATGTGTTTACAAGTGGCTCATAATAAAGAATGTGAGAACCACTATCTCAGCAGACGACGCTCGGCCACGGTCGAGCAGCCGTGGCCGAAAAGACGTCCCCCTACTACTCTTTCGAGGCAGCAGAGTGGTGGGGGGACCTTTTTCCGCTATCTTGAAACCAACACTGTTACTATGCAAAAATTTACATGTTAAGCGAGATTTCGAAGAATTGAATTCAGACCCAACTGGGGTCTGATTTAGATCTAATACAGAATACTCTTCGAGATAACCGTCCCACTAATGAGTTTTTACTCTGTGTTGTTAACCTATATGCATAAATATTGTAGATACGTAATGGTCAATTTCGAATGGTATTTCTTATATCGAAGACCTGAGCCCGACCCCAGTGTAAGNGTGGAGGGTCTTGCGCATCTCCTGGGCGGAGGATCCATCAGCGCCGTACGCGGCCATCGACAGAACCGTGTGCGCGCTCAAGCCCGAGCTCACAAAGTTTCCCTTGTTTTTGCCGGCTAAGCTCTGGAACACAGACGCCCAAATTAGTATTAATTAATAACGCGTGAAAAAAAAAATATTTTTCTTAACAGCTAAGTTCGTATCTGACAATTATAGTGAGCATCAAGTATTGTAAGTAACTTTGTAATACTATAAATTATTAATTACAATGATCGTGTAGTTAATTTAAAAAATATTTGGAAAACTATATATCAAAGAGTTAATATCGTATTCACAAAATAAATTCAACATGTATAATCTTGTTTCCTTATCAATAATGCGTATATCGTTATAGTGCGTCGAATATTTCAATGTTTTTGAAAAGTTACGAAGACTCGGGTTTCTTTACACGTCCAGAAAAAAACGTTATATTTTTGTTGGCGTCAACGATTTTAAAATAGAATGGCCTGTCCACTTGTAACTCTATCGGCGGTAGGGGCAGAGAACGTTTTACTATCCTTATGCCTATTGCAAAAATAATTTATTTTAATGGACGAAATATTGAAAAAACAATTAAGTGAGAATGTGAGCGTGAGGGCAACAGTGAGTTACTGCGTGAAGCGTTAATTAGGTAAAAGAGGGAAAATATGGTCAAGAAATCAATTCTCCTTTTAAAGTCCAAATCGAGGATATGAAAAACAAGTGCGTCAGATGGATGGCTTCAGAAATTAAAGAATTTTGTAAAGAATAATTTCATTGAAAAAAAAAAAAAAAAAAAAAATGTATATTATTGAAAACTTTATGTTACCAGTCACTGCAGCTGCTTCGCTGCCCTCTTCATTGACTTCGATAAAAGCTTTTTGCATAACTTTCGAAACCATGACGCTTTCATCGCATATGCCCTTGAAATTTGCTCTTTCCGTAAATATCTCGTTCATACCCAACTGTAAAATAATATACTCATTGCAAAAACATTTATTAAAATTTAACGTAAAACTGTTAAATGTAGTTATCGTACCTCCATCAAGTGGGCATTTAACTCGTGTGTTGATTCGACTTTGAATTTAGGTAACGAAAGATTAACTTCTTGGCGACTGTATTTAAAATGCTCATACTGGAGCTCGAGTTTCTCGAGGTTGTTCTCGATTTTTTCCAAGCCGTCAATAGCGTTAGGGACTACAATTACCATGAACAAATCTTCATTCTAAAGCGAAAATAAACATAAAATTTAATTATTATTATTATTTATT